TCTCACACCGGAGGGGTTTTCCGGTGAAGAGCCTCCGATGCTTAAGTCAGTATGTGTTTGTTCAATTTTCCAAAGTAAAGAATGGATAAATCGTAGGCTACAAGAAAAGACCCACTCCCATATATATAGGAGTGAGATACCTGCCCTAAAAACTGCCCTGCTTTTGGTGAGCTGTCCTGCCCGTACTGCCCGTCCGTACACACATAGTGTACGTGTGTCAGAGATGTCAGGGGTAGTTTTCGCCACTATCACTCTGCACCAATATATTCTCGCCACGTGTCCCTCTGAGCTGAGGGAGATTATTATTCTGCGCAGGCCGTTGAGATCTTCTAACGTCATCCACGCGCCTTCTCGCGTTCAAGCCACGCCCTAGACTGCTCTTCACCTGTTGAGTGCTCGATCTCCTCCCTTTTGGTCGATCCTCGACCAGCTCTGCTATTCTGCTCGATCTCCTCCTTTTTGGTCGATCATCTTTCTCCCAATCCGGTTTTCTCCACTTCGAGGTTGCTCGACCGATGATGCAAACCGGTCTATTCCTCAGCTATATAATATCCCATATCATATTAATATACTTTTTTCATTATAATTAATTATATTTTATACTATCATAATTTATAATAACTATATTAATATAATATATATTATATAATATATTAATTCTATTAATATATATTTATATAAAATATATATTAATATTATTAAATTATACATATTCATATATATGAATGTATAATAATATATATGAAAATATTAATATATATAATTTAATATATATTAATTTAAATTATTAATATATTTTAATTATTAATCAAACTTAATTATTAATTTTTTTCATTTATTATAAAATATATAATAATATATATGAAATTATTTAAATATATTTTTTATATTTCAACATTTTTTAATTAAAAAAAATTAAAAACCACGAAAATTAAAAAAAATACAAATTAAATTATATGTACAAATAGTTAAAAATGCAAATAGAATTTATTATTATTTTGTTAGAGGTTAGAAATTATTGTATTATAGATTAGAATTGATTATGTTATAAATTAGAATTTATTACTATTATGTTAGAAGTTAGAAATTATTATGACATACATAGTGAAAGTGTATTAAAGCATGGATCATTTAGTCCCACATTGATTTTGAAAGCAAAAAAGAATGCAAAAAGTAGTTATAAAGGTTTGAGACAATCCCACATCGATTACAAACACAATAATAAAGGCCAAGAGTGGCTATAAAAGGTTGAGAGAGTGAAAACTTTGATTTGCAATTATCCCACATTGAATGAGAAAGTTCAATGTAAGGCAATGAATAGCTATATATGTTGTAGCAACTTGCCTGAATAACTATTAATTGGTTTCTCTAATAATTAATAGTAGTAAAAAAATCATATATTTTTTAAATATTTAATTTATAAAAAAAAAAAAAAAAATTAAAAAAAAAAAAAAATTAAATTTTTGGTTCTAGTGCGGCCAGTTTGACCGGCCGACCGCCGCATGACCGGTCTTGTTGGATAGCATTTTTTCGCCGGAATTATTTGGAGGTGTTTTCGGAATTTTTCGGTGCTCGGTTCGGCCGATAAATAGGTTAGAAGGTGGGACATTATTTTTAAAAAAAAAAATAAGATTAAAGTGCAAAACTGTCATTTTAGGGTGCGGTATTAGTAAAATGGGTGCGGTGCTTAGTAATTGAGAAAAAAAAATTATGTAAAAGTACCATGAATTCATTCTTGTCGGGTAAAGAAAAGCGTATCATCATAAATTTACCCGAGTTACCATTGTTTTCTGTAAAAATTACTTTTTCTACTCAAACATAATTTATGAAAATAAATTTAAAGTTCATATTTCTTAAGTAATGCCTTTAATTCATATATCGAAGAAAAAAACAAAAATTCTTCGAAGATGTTAACTAAATTGTATAAAAGAGGTGGTTCTAATTCAATCATCATACAATTAGGGCTTTGTCTTTAAGCTTATTGGAGCCCACAACTATGCAATTCTCCGGTACAAATGATTTCTGAAAGTGCCCGAGAAAAAATAAAAAACAATACAATAAGTAGATCGAAATATTTTATTTATTGCCCTTGTTTTGTCAATTTGGGGTATTTAAAAAGAGCTAGAGCTAAATACAAAAAGTTTCCCTATAGAAAAACCTCTCCCTTTGGAGTTCAAAGTTCCGTTACATATGGAGTGTTTCCGATTTGATCTTTAATCTGCTTTTTTGTTTCCTCATTTCGATCATTCAATGATCTACTTCTTTATCGGTTTGGCAGCTTTGTTTATAGTGTTATTCCTCTCTTTTCCAATTGTGTTTTGCAAATTAGGTTTTCTTTCTCTTCGAGCTTTTGGTCGGTCGTAATACTTTGGGGTTTTTGTGGGATTGGGGGTAGTGTGAGTTGGTTGCAGGAGGGTAGGATTGTTCTCTGGATGGTTGTCTAGACCTAAGACCATTTTGCTCATATTACCTGAAGTGGCCGTGTTTTGGTTTGTTTTTGTTCTGCAGGGTGTATTGATTCTCGGACTTTGCTACTCTAGTGAGTTGAGATACTGATAGTAGTGGTGATATGGCGCATGATCTAGTTGAACATATGTCTAAATTTGCGTTATCTGCTAAGGAGAAAGCGAGAGTCACTCTTTCAGTAGTGGATATAGAACTGAGCTTACAGGGATATGATGTGAGCTCAGCTTAATTGATTAAATTTTTGGAGAAAAGAAGGTGAACCTCAATGGATTGAAAACAACAATGGCGATGGTATGGCGCACCGCACAACCATTTACCATCAGGGCGCTAGGGCAAAACTTATTCCAATTCTTGTTTCAATCGGAGGAAGACAAAACTAAAGTCCTTCATGGTAAAGTGTGGTCTTTCGACAGGCAATATATGCTACTCAAGAAGTGGAAGAAGAATGAGGTGGAATTTCGAGATGACGAGTTGAAAGTGGAGCTATGGGTACAAATCCACAAACTGCCACTGCATTGGATATCAGAGGAAACGGGAGTTAAGGTTCGCCGGATTTTTGACAAAGGCTGCCAGGTATAATGGTAATCTGGTCAAAATTCTTACCGTAGTAAACCTTTTGGAACCTATACCCCGAGGTACAACTATCAAACTGGGAACGAAGGAGAAGTGGGCGCAATTCAAGTACGAGAATCTATTAACTTTTTATTTTTACTGTGGTCGTATAGGTCATCATGACAGAATGTGTGAGGTGAAGAACTATGATGTTCATACAAATGTATTGAAATCTGGGCAATATGGGGAATGGTTGAGAGGATCTTTTGGGGGGTTCTCTAATATTAGGGAAAAAAGATCCTCAAGTCCTTCTAGTGAGAGAGCTAACTAGTAAGACTAAAAATCCCTTGGGTGGGGATGTGCAACCTAGTGAAATGCCTGAGATACCTGAGGCCCAACTTATTGTTAGGCATGTGATGAGAGGGGTTGAGCAATCTATTGGGGTTGATTAGGGAAGTAAGAGTCCTGAGATGGTCAGCAGCAATAGTGAGTTGGAGTTTTCTAAGGATAAAAATGGGGGAAGTAAGGAAATAGGTCCTAGCCCATCTGAACCCATGGAATTAGATGATAGCAAGATCCATGACCTGGATCTTAGTAACCTTGTCAATGTGCCTGTTAGGCAATTTGAACAAAAGGTTTATGTTCCTAAGAGCCAGAGATCTTTTGTTAAGATCACTAGGAGTAAACTTGTTGAGTCTAAGAATAAAACCTCTGATAAACAAGTAGGTTTTTATGAACCTCAGGGTAATAAGACTCTTTTGAAAAGAAAAACCATACCAGACAATGAGCTGTCTGAGCTGGATTATATAGATTTTTCTTTAAGAAAAATAAAAACAAACCATGGATAGTGGTGAAAAACAGGTGGAGGCAACCAGCCATATATAACTGGTCCAAAAGTTCAAAATGAGAGCTTTGGTGTGGAATTGTAGAGGTCTGGGAGGACCCTCTACAATTCCCCAGTTGAAGGCTAATCTTAGCGCCTACGTCCCAGATTTTGTGTTTCTGTCTGAAACAAAAAAGAAAAAACCTTTTGTTAAAATTGTTTGTAAAAACCTTCATATGGATAGTAGATGGGTTTATGTCAATCCTGTTGGTTCCAAGGGTGGGCTTTTGTTAGGTTGGTCCATTAATGTGGATATCGTGGATTGTGTTCTGTCTGAGTTTAGTATTGAGGTTGGTTTTAGATGGAAAGGGGGGCTGAGGTCTGGTGGGCTGTCTTTGTGTATGCTAGTGTCATTTCTGCTGAGAGGCAATATCAATGGGATTTTTTATGTCATAGTTAGCATAAGTGGGGTAAATTGTGGTTTCTTGCATGTGATTTTAATGATATTTTGAGTAATGATGATAACAGAGGGGGTATGCTGAGAGGGGAGGCTAGTTTTAAGTGTTATAGAGATTTTGTGTCAATTTGAATGGGATTGAGTGTCTTAGTGCAGGACACACTTTCACTTAGTCAATTACTAGGAGAGGGGATGATTTCGTAGAAGTTAAGCTGGATAAGGTTTTTGTTTCCCCTTAGTGGTTTCTTTGTTATCCAGACGTCTCAGTTCAACACATTTCTCAAATCTCTTCTGATCATTGTATTCTGCTTATGGATACTGAAGGACCTGGTAAAAGCAAAAAGAAAAGGTTCATTTTTTATAGCAGATGGGTGAAAGAGGAAGGATACCCTGAAAGCCTTACTAAAGCTTGGGGAACTACTGTTAATGGTACATGGGTGTATAAGTTTCAAAGGAAGTTGAGGTGTGTTAAATTGGGTCTACTAGGGTGGTTAGCTGAGAATGTACTAACTTTGGTCATATTATTAAAGCTTCCAATGCTAAACTTGAGATGCTAGGGCAACAAGTAGGGAAGAGAGATTGGGAAGCATGGATTCGATGCAAAAGACAGATACATCAGACATATAAGGATAAGGAGATTTTTTGGAAACAGAAGGCAAGGGTCAGATGGCTGAGAGAAAGAGACAATAACATCAGATTCTACCAGGCTTGTGTTAGGCAAAGGAGGGGCAGGAACAGTTTAGAGCAATTGAACCAGATTGGGGAAGAAATGTGAAAGTGATGACGAATACTTGAAAGAGATCTCTGATTTTTTTTAGCAGCTGTTCACAACCCAGAATCCAAGTTTTAATCCAGAGGTGTTGCAAGGCATTCCAAGATCTATCACACCCGCTATGAATCAGAGACTCACTAGAACTGTGGCAGAGGAAGAAATCAAAGCAGCTTTGTGGGAAATGGACCCAAATAAGGCACCAGGTATAGATGGCTTTTCCGTAGTGAAGTGAACAAGATTTCACCCGGCGTCGGGCCTCCGACGCTCAAGTCAGTATAACTCCAAATCCCAAGAGTATAATTATGAATGTAGAGAGAGTGAGAGAATGGGATACCTCAGCCCCCTTTTATAGGGGGAATGTACCTTATGGCCTAAGTTGGGCTTGTCCAATAGCATCATGCCACGTGTCCTAGCCATGTGTTGGCTTATTCTTCAATATATTCCCTTTTTATCGATTAAGACTGGTCTAGTATATAATATCCTATATCATCTAGTCCCCCCACTCTAGTCGAGTAAACATAACTCGATCCAAGAGTGAAATTCCTCTTCGGGTTGTTTCCGTCAACCTGCCACTGAGGTTATAATTTGGATAAATCATTGACCACCAAATAGTCGCTAAACCTCCAAATGAGCATCGGGACCCCAAATGAACACTGAATGACCACTAAGGTCAAAAACCTAAAGACCCGCCGCTTAGGTCGAATACGGAACCTCTGAGGTCGAATACCGAGAGATGAATGAGCAATGAGGTCGAAAATCGAGTGACCCACTGCTGGGGTCGAACACCGAAAGTTGAACGACCACTGAGGTCGAAAACCGAATGACCCGCCACTGGGGTCGAACACCGAAAGTTGAACGACCACTGAGGTCGAAAATCGAGAGACCCGCCACTGGGGTCGAACACCAAAAGTTGAACGACCACTGAGGTCGAAAACCAAGAGACCCGCCACTGGGGTCGAACACCAAAAGCTAGTCGACCACTGAGGTCAAAAACCGAGAGACCCACCACTGGGGTCGAACACCAAAAGCTGATCGACCACTGAGGTCGAAAACCAAGTGAACCGCCACTGGGGTTGAACACCGAAAGTTAAACGACCACTGAGGTCGAAAATCGAGAGACCCGCCGCTGGGGTCGAACACCGAAAGTTGAAGTCTTGAATTTAAAAATTTGAACTTACGTCTTGTTGTTTTTCAATCACCATGTTCGAGCTCTCTTCATTCAAAGATAAGCCTTTCCTACCACATCCTCCTATCATCGCCCCCTCAGTTCAAAATTTGAAATTCAACCCTGCTATTTATTCTCTTGAAAACCGAATGTCCTGACACCACACCAAAATCGAAAGTCGAATTTCGACAAAACCAAATAAAATCATCAACCTGAATAAATTCGACGAAACCAACAATCAAATAAATTCGACGAAACTAAGAATCAAATAAAGATCATCGACCTGCCACTGAGGTCTGCTCGAGCTATCCGTAATAAACTCCATCTCCCAGCTCTTGAAGTCGAAAAATAAATTCGACGAAACCAAGAATCAAATAAAGATCGCCGACCTGCCACTGAGGTCTGCTCGAGCTATCCGTAATGAACTCCATCTCCCTGCCCTTGAAGTCGAAAAATAAGTTCGACGAAACCAACAATCGAATAAAGATCATCGACCTACCACCGAGGTCTCCAATAGGATCCATGTCTTTACCGACCCAACACTAGGATCGACCACCCAGCCCAGAGGCCTTAATCATGGTGGATTTTTGTCTTCGAACACATGTCCACCCTCGAAGGAGTGGTCGTTACATGCGACCACCCAGCCCGAAGGCCTTAGTCATGGTGGATTTTGGTCTTCGAACACATGTCCACCCTCAAATGAGTGGTCGTTACATGCGACCACCCAGTGGTGGATTTTGGTCTTCGAACACATGTCCACCCTCAAAGGAGTGGTCGTTACATGCGACCAACCAGCCCAGAGGCCTTAGTCATGGTGGATTTTGGTCTTCGAACACATGCCCACCCTCAAAGGAGTGGTCGTTACATGCGACCACCCAGCCCGGAGGCCTTAGTCATGGTGGATTTTGGTCTTCGAACACATGTCCACCCTCAAAGGAGTGGTCGTTACATGCGACCACCCAGTGGTGGATTTTGGTCTTCGAACACATGTCCACCCTCAAAGGAGTGGTCGTTACATGCGACCAACCAGCCCAGAGGCCTTAGTCATGGTGGATTTTGGTCTTCGAACACATGCCCACCCTCAAAGGAGTGGTCGTTACATGCGACCACCCAGCCCGGAGGCCTTAGTCATGGTGGATTTTGGTCTTCGAACACATGTCCACCCTCAAAGGAGTGGTCGTTACATGCGCCACCCAGCCCGGAGGCCTTAGTCATGGTGGATTTTGGTCTTCGAACACATGTCCACCCTCAAAGGAGTGGTCGTTACATGCGACCACTCAGCCCGGAGGCCTTAGTCATGGTGGATTTTTTCTTCTGAACTGCTCGAACACTTCAACCTGCCACTGAGGTTTACAAGAAAACACACCAAATACCACGAGACATAATAGTAATTGATTATTTTTGTTAGCCCCATCAATTGAATAGTTATATTGAACAAAAAAAACAAAAAAAAAAATTCAAGCATTTTTTCGACCTCCCTTTCCTATCTGTACAAGACGACCTGAGTTGTTGTTTGCTCCATGCTTCTCACTCCTCACCATAACTATTATCCAGTCCACCTGCTCATGCATTTTCCTCAGCAACATTCAACAAGTTCCATTAGTCGTATTTTATCCACATCATCCAATTTGCAATCCCGATAGCAATAATAGCAAAAGACGAATAAATCAAAGTAATCACATTGGTCCATATTCGCTTATACAACACCTCAATTTACATGCAAGTCTCGACCACGATATGAAATTGCATAAACACCCACTCAAATGTACAGTCGACCAGAATTTCACAAAGCCATGAATTAAACAAACAATTATAATGAACCATACTCTGCAGCTACAAACAATCATTAAAAGAATGCACCAAACAAAAATTTAAATGAGTTACTCCCAATACTGAGCTCCTTAGTCGTGACGACTCGAGACTGGCCAGCCCGAAGGCCTTAGTCGTGCCAGATTTTGTTCGAGACTCCACGTACACCTCATTTTCTGCATTTTGTTAATCACCCAAATAATAATTCCAGACATATCCACATACACCACAATTTCAGCAACATTTTGCCCAGAATATTCAAACAATGAACATTACTCCAAAAAAGAATGCTAAGAGGCTCGATGTTTTATTATATCGAGTCGGCCGAACTTGACCACTCACAAGAGTTGGGATTAATTTTATACCTGAAAGTCGAGAATGCCACTCCCAATTATCCTACCTCTCCAAAAGAGAATGATTTCTGCCTCTGAAATTGCCACCTGCAATCGGCACCATCCAGACTCGTCCCTCCTTATCACCCTGCTTTGATGGTTTCGTGCTCGCTCATTGTGTCCTCGAAACTCCACAACTAGTCCGCCATAGCTTGTCGAGACTCGGGTTATTTCGTTGTTTTCTCGACAAGAATTCAAAGAGATATCATTATCCATATTATACTCACATCATCCATTTTGCAATTCTCCACGCAAGAAAAACAAGAGATCAAATACAATCATCACCATCTCCTCGGTTTTAGACATGCTCGAGCAATGACATGCGATAAAAGATTATGAATAGTCAATTCAAACACAATCATAAGATATCCGCAATCCGAAACCACGACTCGCATTTATTAAGCATAATCACAAATATCGTCAAATTAAAATCACGACCCCGCATTCATGCTCAATCAAATAAGTGTTCGCCAATAAATCAAATAATATCTCGACCAATAAGTCCAACAATATCTCCACGAGCAAATCAGATAAATCCACGATTAAATTAGATATCACTGCGAACAAAATTTATCCAATTTTACTCCACCAATAGATCAAATAAACTCCACGGATAAATCAAATAATACTCCACGAATATATCAAATATTCGCCACAAATAATTCAAATAATACCACAAACAAGTCGAATAGTACTCCCCAATAAATGCAATAATTCCTCGAACAAATCAAATAATAGCCCTCGAACAAATCGAATAATACTCCTCAATAAACCAAATAATTCTCCTCAGATAAATCAAATAATTTTGCCCAAGTAAATCGAATATATTCTCCCCGAATATATCAAATAAACTCCACGAATATATCAAATATTCTCCTCGAACAAATCGCATATCACCACGAATAAATCACATAATATCTCGAGCAAATCAAATAAATCTCCTCGAACAAATCGATTATTACCACGAATAAATCATATAATATCTCGTCGAGCAAAATCAATAATATCTCCACGGATAACTCAAGTAATCTCCATGAATAAATCATATATTCTCCATACATAAATCAAATAATTCTCCTCGAATCAATCAAATAATACTCCACAAATAAGTCAAATAATGTTCTCGAACAAATTGAATAATGCTCCACAAAATAAGTCCAATATTTTTCTCCATTTTCACCAATTAAAAAATCCTCAAGCCCATTTAAATTAGTCACGTACCTTCATTATGAGAACACTATCTCAAATTACCTCACCATGCTCGTTGGATCATCCCGAATTAGTTTTTGGCTATAAACGGGGCTGTTCTTATTCATTGGGCCAAGATTGGGTGAATAGGGCTCTATTTGGAGCTGTTTGGGGGAAAAATGGGCCGCAGTTGGGCGCTAATGGGCCGCTAGATCGCGTTTGGGCTGGGAAATTTGGCCAAGAGGGTGGAGGAGGCGCGGGCCACACGCGGGCTGGCCGCGGGCCTGTGCAGGCTGAAAGCCGGGCTCAACGCGGGCCAGGGCGTGCGAGAAGAGCGGGCCGCGCGGGCTGGACGCGGCCCGCGCCTGGAGTTGATGGAAGTTGGGCCGATGACTGGGCCTTCTCTACTGGGCTGTACGCTGGGCCTTTGAGGTTCAAGTTACAAGGGCCGCTGGTGTTGGGCCTCCACTTCGAGCTAGACGCAGGCGTCTGGGCTCCCTCCTCAGGCTGGACACAGGTTTCACGCGGGCTCGGAGCACATCTGGGATGGAAAAGACGACCTGCGCACGGCGTTTGGAACTCGCCGGAAAGCTCTTCGCCGGCAAAACCTCGCCGGAACCAGCGAAAATGGCCGGCCGTGTATGCGTTTCGACAAGGAGAATACGGTGGTGCCACTAGCGAAAATGGCCGGCCGTGTATGGCCGGACGTGTTCTTCTGTTCTGACTATCATGAAGAACCTAGGTCTCGGTGACTCTACTAATTCTTAACCCTAACTGTGGAAATTAGATATATGGGATATTTGTTTGTTACTTTGACTTACCATGGGTGAGGACCAAGTATTGGTTCAATAGCTCCGTA